TCGCGCCGTGACATGCCCACTATGAGTGTACTTGTTTGATTGTTTTACACATAGATGACTACACTTGTACTTGTACTGCCTGTCTCGCCTGTTTACCCTTTTCTTTAATTCACGAAAATATTTTACGTTATCTTATTTTGCTGTTAATAATGTTTATAACATTATAGTAATTATATTATTTATAATAAAAATAACCATCGATATTCATAGCACTAGTAAGAATAAATTTTCCCGCCAATTCAAGTAAAGGTGAAATCAGGTAAGGCAGAGCCATCTAGTGTAGAGATATTTCACAAAACAATATACAAAATGAGCACAGCATTTTCCCCATTTTTACCTGGCGCAAATGGGTTAATATATACACTAACCCTGTCCTATTGTGCTTATTAGGTTGTGCACCTGTGTGTGATGGTGAAACTTTGCGATTTGGTTGAAAGGGCTGGTCTAATAACTCCTCCAGAGAGGGCTGGCTGGATTGGATCATATTTATCAGAACATCTATATTTTCTATACCATTTGAGTATAGTGTCTCTCTCTCTCTCTCTCTCTCTCTCTCTCTCTCTCTCTCTCTCCCTCTCTCCCTCTCTGCCTCTCTGCCTCTCTGCCTCTCTGCCTCTCTCCCTCTCTCCCTCTTTTTCTCTGTCTCTCTTTTCCTCTCTCTCTCTCTAAGCCATAAATTGTGATGCAGGAAAGCATGGTACCAAGGGAGGACTGTGTACACACACACACACACACACACACACACACACACACACACACACACACACACACACACACACATATATATACATATTTATATATATATATCTTATTTCACCACAAGAAATACATCTTCCTACCTTCCTTGTGCATGGTGAGGTTGCAACACTGCAGAAACCCGCCCACAATTCACTAGCTAAGTGAGGGGTTATAGGTGACAGCATTATAATCTGTGCAGCTAATGATTTTTCAAATTCCTCGGTCAGCATCATTTCCTTTGGTATTTTCTGAAAGGACACAAAAAGGAATTTTAGAGGAACCACAGAAGAAAAAGATGGATGTAGTGGGAAGAAGAGAAGGAGGGGAGGAGGAGGAGGAAGAGAAGGTGGGGGGGGAGGAGGGGGAGGAGGAGGGGGGAGGAGGAGGAAGAAGAGAAGGTTGGGGAAGGGGAAGGAGGGGGAGGAGGAGGAGGAGGAGGAGGAGGAGGAGGAGGAGGAGGAGGAGGAGGAGGGGGGGGGAGGAGGAGGAGGAGGAAGGGGGGAGGAGGAGGAGGAAGAGGAGGAAGAGGAGGGGGGGGAGGAGGAGGAGGAGGAAGGGGGGAGGAGGAGGAGGAAGAGGAGGAGGAGGAGGAAGGGGGGGGGGAGGAGGAGGAGGAGGAGGAGGAGGAGGAGGAGGAAGAGCAGGAGGAGGAGGAGTAGGAGGAGTAGGAGTAGGAGTAGGAGGAGGAGGAGGAGAAGATGATAAAAAGAAGGAGGAGATGAGGAAGAAAGAACAAAAAAAGAAACAAATAAACAAAAGTCACATAACTCCCCAAAAGCAAATCAACAAGCATCTGAACTACTTGAAATATACTCCCTCGCTTGAAAAACAACTGAACCTGAGTGACAAACTTGACCCAATCTTCCACCACTTACAAAACACGAAGCACAACTTACCCTCAGGCTTACAGTGAGTCCCTGCATATAAGAAATGGCCACACTCAGCTGGTTCGTATACAAGAAATTGTACGTTGCTCCTCTCAGGTAAAAGTTCCGATTTTCGAAGAGGAAGTCCTTGTGTTCTTGAATCTCCTCCATGCTGGCATACCAAAGGAAAGAAACATTAATTTAAAGAATGCTATCAAAATCATGCTGAAAACTAAGGCTGATTATCATCTTATGGAAAGGTTTAAAGGTAACCATGTAACACCCCCAATGAGCATATCTTTGATGAATCCAAATGTTTTAAAAACTTTTTTAAACTCACAAAAACTGTTGATAAAGACTGAAAGAAGAAAAAAAAGATGTATGTGGTATTTATTACACATTACTCCTGTCAACAATATTCTGTGTTCTTTCAATATTACTTGAACTTGGCAATATTCTCCATTAGGGAAAAAAAACTAAAGAAAATACAAATAATTAATTTTTTTCCTGAAGCAAATGTATCTGGCAGTCATGGGAAATGGAGTATGACATTACAAGCATCACACAAAAAATTGGATGGCTTATCTATAGCCATAGGACCACCAATTCATCATGGACTCATAATAAAACAGATATGTAGACAATCCCTGAATGAAAAGCTTACGCTATGTGTATCAAACAAAAGTTATGGAACATGAAGGTGAATCTGCATTTTCCGAGTACTATGACAAAGGCAACTCTCTCTTTTTCTTGGTTCTAAAATAAGGAACCCATTTTCCTGTTTTGCTCTAGCATTTTCTCAAACTCTATTTGTTAAGATAATTTATCTGAGTGTGGGAGATTGTCCATTAACTATTAACTATCTAACTAACTATCTCATGTCTACTTCAACTGCCTTACCAAGTGCCAGCTCACAAATAAATATTTTGTAAGGTAAGTGTGCTTCACTAATGGCCAGTTGTAGCTTTCAAAATTATTGAACCTCATATTTTCAAATGCATTTCCTACTTTTCACATTCTTCTTTTAATATCAACACCATTTTAACCTGTTATTACCATTTAAAATTCCTTCACTTGCCAGTTTGAATTTCCTTTCTTCCCTATAAATGCTATAATGAATGACCAAAGGTTTCTAAAATAAACTAGCTTATTCAGAAAATGAGATCATATGTTCAAAACCATACTAAGAGTCAACACATGGTATTCAGATCGTAGAATAATTTCATCCCAATTAAAATATCTCATCATCTTAGAAACAATCTCACCCTCACCATCTTAGAATATCATTAAAGAATATTATACTTTACTTATTATTTAATATTACTAATTATACTGTCCTTCAAATCTTCATCTTGACATTCAGTGTTTGAAAATATTTCAATCTGCTACTGATTTAAACAAAAATATTAGACATTTCTCTGAGCAACATATACTTTTCTTGACATTTACCAATTTATTTTTGAATGTCTTTGTACCAATTTTTATAAAAAAAAAACCCTTATGTGACAAACAGGCAAGTTGTTGCTCAGAAGTGAATTAATCTGACATTCTGTTAATTCCCAGAAACCTTTCCATGCCCTTTGTCTTCTATGTTGTTTGAATCATGTATTTAAAGTGATTTGATCCGTCTGCCTTATATATCACTCTAACTACATTTTGCACTCCTTATCTATAGTATTTACAGTCCATGCCCCTTGTCTATTTTTTGCATTTACAGTACCTATCAACCTAATGGTCCTGGGTAATTGCACTGTCCACTGTAGTTTTGCTTTGTTAATTTTGTTTACGAATAGATGGCTCGACAAGCATTCAGTCACAAAGGAATCAGTAAGTAGGCCTACCTGATATCCCCTTTCCTTGAATATTCTTTTTTTTTTCTAATACCATCATCATTTTATAATCATTATTATTATCATTATCTTTATTATTGACATTGGTGTTGTAATGTTATTATGCTGTATGAATTTGAATTTTGTTTGGACATAATGAGAATACCTATTTGTCCGTGTTTTTCTCCCCTTGAATTTGTGACTACCATTTAAAATAATATTTTTTAATTAAATCTTTCTACTCAACATCAATTAGCATTTAAGTCCTTCCTCTTAATCATTTAGTTTTCCTCATATACATTTTCTTCCCTTCTAATATTCCTCGTGAGTTTTTTCTTTATTTCATTATTGTCAATATATTGTTACTTCTTCAATCAGTAACAGAGTATCCATTTTAGCTTGTATATTGTCCTTTTATCTTTTTTTTTCAACATTTTCCCCATTATCTCTTTTACCCCCTACTCTTGTCTAAATTATCTCTCTCTCTCTCCATCTCACCTTTCTTTAAACCCCCTACATAATAATTTCTAAATCCCCTCTAATGTCCATCAGTACGACAACACTCACAATAACATCCAAGATAAGCTAAAGCCCTCACCTCAAAGGAATGCCTGAAGCCCGAAGCTCCTCATCCTGCCGCATGTGGATGAATTCCGAGACTGTGAGCCAAAGGCGGTTCTGCCAGTTCAGAATACCCGGGAATGCTGCAAAAATGGGGAAGTCTGTTATCAAATGCATTAACATCAATGTCAAATATCATATGCAAATGAAAATGAAAAAAAATTTACACTGTTACGAATGTTGGCCGTCTGATTTTTTTTCTATTCAATGGCCAGGATTCTTTTAGTGTGAAAGAAATCCCAAATTAAAATTCTTCCCAATACTTGGGAGGCTCATGTGCCTATTCTCATATCTCTTCATTCCTGATTATCCATTACTCTAATTCCCTATATATGAATCTTTTTAAGGAGGAGGAAGAAGAGGAATATAAGGATAAAGAAAATAAGAATAAGAATAATAAGCCAAAAAAAATCACAAAGGCAAAGTTAATTATATGCATTCATAAAACGAATCTCCAGTAAGTCTCACTATCTTTGGACCAGTTCCTCTGAGACGAAGGAGCAAAGTTTGCCAACATCAACAGCCTCGTGGTGTCAGTGCCATATTCCTCCAACACATCCTGAAAATAAGATATGAAGTTAACTGGACTCTCTTCCATATTACTGCTTGCATTTAAAATCTACTCTGATAAAGTACTCGTTTTTAGTTTCAACAGGCAACAATCTAGACTGTAACTGAAACATATTAGACAGAAATAGAGATACAGCTACAGATATACAAAATGAGAGCAATACAGAGAGATCCACAATTTCATCTGCCTGCATTCTGATTCATAAATTCTAAAACACATGATCTATCTACAGTAAAACCTGAGAAAACCGAACACCCATGGGACTGTAAAAAATGTCCGGTTTGGACAGTGATCCGGTTTGGAGAGGGTGGGCTTTTAACACAGGCCACCTATTGAAATGGGAAGGGACTGAGAATATCGTCTGGAATGGACAGTGATCCGGTTTTCTCAGGATCCGGTTTTCTCAGGTTTTACTGTACTATCTATGTATCTATCTACTCAGATTCCAGCTCTTGCAACTTCTCCCATTCCTTCTCTCCATTATCTCCTCTTTGTAACGCCAGCCTTACCTTTGGGTCAATGCCGTTGTGCTTGCTTTTGCTCATCTTCTCGTATGTCACAACAAGTTCATTTCCCGTTCCACGTTCCACAGGAGGCTTGACTGCGAATGTTGGGAAAATGTTTCTAGAGTAAGGGAATGTTATTGTCTGTCTGACTTGCCAGCTATACATAATAATAATAATAATAATAATGAAAATAATAATAATAATAAAACAAAACCATAGAGGAGAGTGCAAGTATACATTCACTACAGGAATGAAATGTGGTGCCAAAGCCCCTTAGGAGTCATGAACATGGATCCAAAACAGGCATAGGTGTGAAAAATAAAGAAATTCAAGAAATGACTGGCAAGTCAGAAATAATTTCCTAAATAAAGCATCTACTTTTTTCTGGATGATTCAAACATCATTGCATGTTAGCCACTGAAAGAAGCAATGGTCAGTTCAAGGTTTTCTCAGATACAATGATACATGCCTTTCAAAACAACAATAAAATCACATGAAGGCCAAGCTTTTTGTCATAATCCAAGGCACATCTTAACTTTATAAATGTCTAGTAAGACCGAACACTAACCCGAGAAATCCACTTCGTCCTTGGTGAGGTATCTGCCCGAATCCTTCACCCTGTAGGTCTCGCCCATGACCATGCCCTGAGTGACAAGTCTTTTGAATGGTTCCTTGTGGCTTGCCAGTCCCAGGCTTGCTAAGAAGTGCTGTATGAAACGTGCATAGAACATATGCAAAACAGCTGGGGAAGAGACAGAGGTTGATTGTTGATGTAATTGTGTTTGAAATTGTGTCTGGATAAGTTGCAATACTTCTGGGTAATTGCTTTTCAATTAATAATCATTTAGCATCTTTGTGTGTTTGCTATAATCACCATAAAAAAAGAAAAAAAGAAAAATAGGGGGGGGAAAGAAAAAAAATTACGCAATGGATATCACACACTACAAAAAAATATGTATACATACTTGTCTTATTCTATTTTAACCTTCAACCTATTTTATAGACCGTTCAATTACTTTCATAATCACAATATGTTTCTTAACTATATATAAATAGCCAAAATAAAATTTTCCTTTAATGCTCACCATGTTCCTTCCCACCAACGTACAAATCAACAGGCATATTATCCTTTTGGGCATCGTGACTAAAGGGTTTCTCTGTATTGTGAGGATCCAGGAACCTCAAGAAGTACCACGAGGAGTCAACAAATGTGTCCATTGTATCTGTCTCTCTCTCTGCAGCTCCTCCACATCTGTAAAGAGGCATTCATGTATAAGAATGATAACTATAACAGCAATAATAACAATAACAACAACAACAACAACAACAACAACAACAATAATTATAATAATACTCATGATGACTAGGGAGAAACTGCATCTGAATATGGTTTCTTTGGTGAGAGAGTAATCAAAGGTTGTGTTCATAGCAAGAGAGATAGTAGGGAGGGATATCATTAGAGGAGAGTTTGCTGTGGAGGGGAGGATGGAGGGATGTCAGACTATTATGAAAGATGGGGAATGGCAAAATGGTTAGCAGGAGTGGAAATGCAAGGATATGGAAGAGAGGGACTGAGAATAGGAAGATGAATAAGGCAAAGAAAGAAGGGGAATATCAGGAGAGGCTGACAACAGTGAGAGAGAGTGAGAGGTAGAGAGTCTGAGAAAGTGGATATAGAATGGAAACGCTTTCAGGGAGGAGCCTTGAGGTGTACAAGTGTATGGTGTAAAATGCAGGAAGGAAAAGGTAGTGTGCTGAGGATTAAGGAGTTAAGTGAAGTGGTTCCTAATATAAAGGGAACAAGAAGAGAAATGGAGAACAATGGAAGGTAAAGCTAGTACATAGGAGGAAGTATTCAGTGACAGAAAATGGACAAATATTACTTGTTCAAGGGGCAAGAAGCAAGAGATAGGTGGAGTATATTGAGGATTTACTGAAGTTTGAGAATGACAGAGAAGCGAGGAAATGTGGTGGCATTGTTTATGAGGAAGTTGAGATTTCCCTTAAAGTAAATGAAGACAGATAAGGTATCCGCTTCAGACAGCTGTGCAGTGGAATGTCCGAATATAGGAGGAGAGACTATGGCAGCATGACTGATGGGGCTACTTAAGGTATGTTTTTATAGCTGGCATGATTCTTTTCAACTGGAAGAGTGTGTAAACTGTACTGTACGAAGGAAATGGTGATGTATGTAAATGTAGAATCCATAGAGGTACTGGTTTGCTGAGTATGATAAATAAAGTTTTTAGACAAGAGTTGGCACAAATTAGAAGAGAGGAGACAGAAGAATAGATGAAAGAAATAATAAGAGAGACAGAGAGGCTATGTTGAGACTGTGTGTAAAGTATGTAAAGCCTTGTGCAGTGGGCTTCTGAGAGCAGTATATATAACAAGAATGGTAAAGCATATGTGAGAATGAGAAGAAAGGAGAGAAACTGGTCTGATGTCTAGGTGCAGTAGGTGCAGGGGCCCTGAAGTGTGTGTATATAATGTTTCTCTGAATGTTTAATGTTCATATGAATGTAGAAGTGAGGGAGATAATGTTAGCAGAAGAAGGTAAGGAGAAAAAATTATGTTAGAAATGTATGGAAAAAGATTGCCAAGTGCTGAGAGTGACATGTGACATAATGGTCATATATACAGTTCCATAAGGTTTTGGATGGAAAAAAGGTTTTGTGATTGGTCTGACAGGAGTACACTAACACTGCTTTGCTTATAAAAGAGATGTAAAATTCAGGGAAACAAAATAATAACGCAATTCTCCTGAAAACAAAATCTGTAGCAAAACAACTTAATATTGCTATCTTGACCCAAAACCTTTACATAAAAAAGGATGAGCCTGTCACTGTGACCTAGAAAATCCAAAGACATATAAGAGAACTAAGAATAAAAAGTAGAAGTAAAAGCAGACCAAGCCACTAACTCACTTGGGACAGCTGCAGTGTATCCATTCCGTTGCTTCCTTGAGTGGAGAGATCCCCTTCTTTGGGAACTTTGTAATCTTTGGCAGGACGACCGGCAACTGCTCCTCTGGGACTGGAACAACCCCACAATTGGGACAGTGGATTATGGGGATGGGAGTACCCCAATAACGCTGCCTCGATATCAGCCAGTCTCGTAATTTGGCGCTCGTTTCGAACCCTCCAGCCCCTAGTCTTAAGAGCTCGTCTGTGATGATCTGCCTTGCTTCCTTGGGAGTGTGGCCGTCAAGAAGACCTGAATGCACCATTAAATCATTTTCCTTAACAATTAGAATTTCAAATCCACAAGTCCTGGCAATGGCTTGGTCCTTCTCACTCTTAAACGGCAACCCAACATAGCATTCTGCATCACCTTGAAATGGCAACCGACTGCTAACTATGACCGGGATTTTCCTTCCACTGACGGGACAAACGGCCCTCACACTCAGCACTCGAATCTTGTTGATTTCCTCCTTTCTGTTGGCCTCCGTGTCAAGCTTGTGCCCTGGCCTCAATCCCACGAAACTCACCCCATGCAGAAGTTCTGGCTCGCGCATCCACAAGTCTAATTTCGAGGCCGAGGAGCTGCCACCTGCCTCCACCTTTCCCTCATTGTTGCTGCTGTCACTGTGCACAACCTCCATCTCGATCCTGTAGCCATTGCAATCTCCAATCCAGTGTTTTTGTACCTTGATGATGTCGCGCCAGTCCTCGAGCACAGGATCCGAGAGGCCGTCAAGAAGTGACTTGGCAAACCTGGGGAATAAAAGGAAGTGCTATTTGTAAAATAAGAATACAATAAGAGATAAAAGTAATGGATTACAAATATCTGGAAATGAAAAATGTTGAAGAGAAAACAATTCATTTCTCATTTACAATTTTATAAGTTTCTGGTCAAAATGCTATAAAGATTACCTGGTTGTTTTAACGAACCACTGCTTGAGAAAACGCCTTTCCACCTTGGCCCCAGATCTCCACGAGCAACCGTTGCTGTCGACTTGTTCATCTGCTAGCACTGTCTGGTCTATCGGATCCCAGTTGACTAGGGCCTAATGAGGACGAAGAGGGAGGGAGGAAATGACATTTATTACCAATTTTTAAATCCATTTTTAAATCCCTAATCTACATAAACAATGGAAGATAGAATCTAACTACCTGCAATTCATTCAGAAACGTTTAATCATATTCTTCAATGATTATTATCGACATTCACAATAAATCACCAATGCGGGAAGGAGAAATAAGAATCTCCTCCACCCCTTTCTCTTTTTTTCTTTTCTCTCTCTCTCTCTCGATAAAAACACAAACCTCCTCTTGATACGCCAACCCTTCTCGGAACAGAAGGAGGAAGATGTACTGCGTCCACCGGTAGTATTCTGGGTCGCAGGTGGCCAGTTCGCGCTCCCAGTTAAACTTGCAGCCGAGGTCAAGGAGCTGTTCCTTCATTTGGGGTATGTTGCTGTAGGTCCACTTCTCTGGCATTTCGTTGCGCTCGATGGCTGCGTTCTCTGCTGGGAGGCCAAAGGCGTCCCAGCCCATAGGGTGCAGGACCTGGAAGGAAAATGGGGATGAATCAGATAGAAAATAACAATTTTTTTTTTTTTCTAAAAAGTTGGTAATTCATAAGAAAATAACTATAACTTGAAATTGGACTTTTTTAAGAGCAGCATTATTGTAAATGAACATGGAAACATATTATAGAATATTCTTTTGACAAGAAGAGATAATAATAATAAAAAGAAAAGACACAATATAATTATCAGTAACACACATTTAGAAATAATTTAGCTCCGTCCATAAACTCCATAAATTTAAATGAAAAGACATTACTATTTCCACTACCATCATCAATATCATTACTGCTACTATCACCAATAACAATATAATCATTATCACTAAACACAACTTG